CTAAAAGGTGATTTGTAGTTCTATACAGTGATATGTAGTTCTATAAGGTGATTTGTAGTTCTATACGGTGATATGTAGTTTTATAAGGTGATATGTAGTTATATAAGGTGATTTGTAGGTCTATAAGGTGATTTGTAGTTCTATAAGGTTATATGTAGTTATATAAGGTGATTTGTAGTTCTTCAAGGTTATATGTAGTTATATAAGGTAATTTGTAGTTCTATAAGGTTATATGTAGTTCTATACGGTGATATGTAGTTTTATAAGGTAATTTGTAGTTCTATAAGGTGATTTGTAGTTCTATAAGGTGATTTGTAGTTCTATACGGTGATATGTAGTTTTATAAGTCCGTCCTGGGAGAGGGATCCCTCCTCTGTTGCTCTCCCTGAGGTTTCTCCCATTTTTCCCTTTAAACTGTGGGTTTTCTCTGGAAGTGCTTCCTTGTACGATGTGAGGGTCTAAGGACAGAGGGTGTCGTATTGTCATACTGATATTCTGTACAAACTGTGAAGTCCACTGAGACAAATGTAACATTTGTGATATTGGGCTATATAAATAAACATTGATTGGTTGATTGATTGATATAAGATGATATGTAGTTCTATTAGGTGATTTGTAGTTCTATACGGTGATATGTAGTTTTATAAGGTGATATGTAGTTTTATAAGGTGATTTGTAGTTCTATAAGGTGATATGTAGTTTTATAAGGTGATTTGTAGTTCTATAAGGTGATATGTAGTTATATAAGGTGACTTGTAGTTATATAAGGTGATTTGTAGTTCTATACGGTGATTTGTAGTTCTATAAGGTTATATGTAGTTCTATAAGGGTATATGTAGTTCTATAAGGTAATTTGCAGTTCTATACGGTGATGTGTAGTTCTATAAGGTGATATGCAGTTCTATAAGGTGATATGCAGTTCTATAAGGTGATATGCAGTTCTATAAGGTGATATGCAGTTCTATACAGTGATTTGTAGTTCTGTAAGGGTATATGTAGTTCTATAAGGTGATTTGCAGTTCTATACGGTGATAAGCAGTTCTATAAGGTGATTTGCCCCCTGCAGGACCTTTAAGATCATGGACGACAACAGCAGCCGCTCTCTGGACCTGAAGGAGTTCCTGAAGGGTCTGAAGGACTACGGAGTCCTGATGGACAAACAGGAAGCCACCGCGCTCTTCCTACGCTTCGACCGAGACGGCAACGGGACCATCGACTTCGACGAGTTCCTGCTCACGCTCAGGGTGAGACACCAGTACCTTTAACGGGAATATAGATAACGGGATATAGATAACGGGATATAGATAACGGGAATATAGATAACGGGAATATAGGAAAACCGGTGCAGAAGCAGGCCTGTGATGTCGCTGAGATATCTGAGGCTGTCCTCTCTGTTAAGCCCCAGATGTCCCGCGCCCGACAGGAAGTGGTTCTGCAGGCGTTCAGGAAGCTGGACCGGACAGGAGACGGCGTGGTGACCATCGAGGATCTGAGGGGCGTCTACAGCCCCAAACATCATCCCAAGTTCCAGAACGGGGAGTGGAGCGAGGAGCAGGTCTTCAGGAGCTTCCTGGACAACTTTGACTCTCCCAACGACAAAGACGGGAAGGTGGGGTTTCCTCATCATCTTTCATTCTCTAATAAAACCTATTTTCAGCAGTGTGCATCATTTGGTGAGTTTTCGTGGGGGATAAAAAATGCGATCAAAAGTGGAAAAATAAAAATCATAATTTTAGGAATCCTATGGATTTCAATTATGTTACAACTGCAGTGAGGCGGGCGATCTGCAGTCATGTTCTCCAGACTGTTCCCTGTTCTGTGTTTTAATGTTTTATATATATACACCAACCTTTGTGGCCTGTCTGGAGCCAGTTCAACCGACCCTGAGTAGAGTTATCTTAACTAACCCTAACCCTGGATATCTGTGAGTTATCTTAACTAACCCTAACAAAGAGATCGGGGCGGGGTTAGCAACATTTGACCAATCACAAACATTTGACCAATCACAAACATGGAGAACTGACAGCGCAGCATCATACTTCCAGAATGAAAAGTAAACTATTATGTTAGACAAATATGAAGAATTTAAAATGTTAATATCCCTGACTTAAACACTTAGTGTGTCAATGTGTTTCCTGTCAGGTGACCAGTGAGGAGTTCCTGAACTATTACTGTGGAGTCAGCGCCTCCATCGACAGCGACGTGTACTTCATCCTGATGATGAGGAGCGCCTGGAGGCTCTGACGTTCATTATCATCATTATTAATAATAATGAAGCAGTTTGTGCCTCTGTTTATCTGAATGTAAACACACCATGACTCGTCACTTTTAAATTTTATTATACCTGTATATGCATCCATAAAGCTCTAATAACAACATTACAATGACAACCTGAGGAAATACAGAATATGCATCATTAACATCTCTCTGTGGTTAGACACGTGAAGCAGCTTGAAGGTCGTTCGGTAGTAACGACCTTCAACAGATTAAAATAATTTGATGAAGTTTCTTGGTTACATTGTTTTCTATGATATGTGTAGTATTAAATCACGGTAAAATATGTTCTTGTTGTTGGTATCTACATGAGATAAGCCCCGCCTCCTCTCCAGTGTGTATAGTTTGAGTGACACGAGTAAACACCAATGATCTTCATGCCCCCTATTTATGAAATGTAAATATATATATTTATGATATTGTAATATATTGCCCCGTAATGTTTCCTGTTCAGTCGCTCTGCATGAAGCTGGACATGGTGACATACTCATTGCCCCCCCCACTTCCCCCCCCACAGGATGGCTCCTCTGAGGGGGAGGGGCCAGTGGGGGAGGGGGGAGGGGCAGCCTCCCCCGTTTTCTCCAGCTTTAAAGAACTGAACTCCTCCGGCCTGAGGGTCAACATGAGGCCCTGCAGAGAGAAAACACTGCTGTCAGTTTCCTGCTTCCTGTCTCTGTTTCCTGTCTCTGTTTCCTGTTTCCTGTTTCTGTCTCTGTTTCCTGTCTCTGTTTCCTGTCTCTGTTTCCTGTCTCTGTCTCCTGTTTCTGTCTCTGTTTCCTGTTTCTGTCTCTGTTTCCTGTTTCCTGTTTTTGTTTCCTGTCTCTGTTTCCTGTTTCCTGTCTCTGTTGCCTGTTTCCTGTCTCTGTTTCCTGTTTCTGTCTCTGTTTCCTGTTTTTGTTTCCTGTCTCTGTTTCCTGTTTCCTGTCTCTGTCTCTGTTTCCTGTCTCTGTTTCCTGTTTCCTGTTTCTGTCTCTGTTTCCTGTCTCTGTTTCCTGTTTATGTCTCTGTTTCCTGTCTCTGTTTCCTGTTTCTGTTTCCTGTCTCTGTTTTCTGTCTCTGTCTCCTGTCTATGTCTCTGTTTCCTGTTTCCTGTCTCTGTTTCCTGTCTTTGTCTCTGTTTCCTGTTTCCTGTCTCTTTTTCCTGTCTCTGTTTCCTGTTTCTGTCCCTGTTTCTGTTTCCTGTCTCTGTTTCCTGTTTCTGTTTCTGTCTCTGTTTCCTGTTTCTGTCTCTGTTTTCTGTCTCTGTCTCTTGTCTCTGTCTCTGTTTTCTGTCTCTGTCTCTGTTTTCTGTCTCCTGTCTCTGTCTCTGTTTTCTGTCTCTGTTTTCTGTCTCCTGTCTCTGTCTCTGTTTCCTGTCTTTGTCTCTGTTTCCTGTCTCTACCTCCTGTCCCAGGGCCTCACCTTGTTGCTCTTGCAGATGTGCATCAGAGTGTGTTTGGGGTGAGGGATGTTCGGCCACACGTAGCTGAATATTCTGTCAACGGGAGACAAATGGAAGTATATATATATAAATATATATAAATATATATAATATAATATAGAGTGTTGCACAGGTGAGTAAAGGACACCTGTTCTTCAGGAGCAGCAGGAGTCCTGAAGGCAGCAGCAGCAGCAGAACCAGCAGCCCTCCAATCAGAGCCGGGCGTCCTGGACACAGATCATTAACCATGAAGATCATTACACAGCTGAATGATGTGGATGTGAGAGCAGAGAGTAGTGTGTCTCACGGGGGGGGGTCAGCGGCGGGGTCAGCGGGAGGGTCAGGGTCGGGCTCCAGGAGCTCCAGCTGCCCTGCAGCCCGTTAACAGGCAGAGAACGACCTCTGACACGGTACTGATCCAGAACCAGCAGCAGGGAGGGGGAGGACAGGTTCTGCAGCTGAGACATTCATACATGACGATCATATATAACAACAACAACAATAACAACAATAATAATAATAACTCACAGTGGAGCGGCCCCCCCTCCACAGCTGGATCTGGAACAGCTGGTTGTCGTCCCTCAGGTAGTCGTTGCTGTCGGGGCTCTGGAGGCGGATCAGAACCTGAGAATCCATCAGGGAGAGGCTCACCTGGGGGGGGTGGGGCTTGACTGGGGGGGGGATACACATGGAGTTATATATATATATAGAGTTCATTGGCGAGAGGCTCATCTGGGGGGAAGGGCTTCACTGGGGGGGGGGATACACATGGAGTTATACACATATAAAGGCCCTGACACACAAAGCAGTCACCAGAGAACTCGCCGACGTGTTCTCCTGCGTCTTGGCCATGTGTCGCACTGGAACACACCGCAAAGACTTCAGCCGAGCATGTACAAACTGCGCATGCGTGAGTGGCAATAACTCTCCTTACCAGCAGGCGGCGGTAGTGTTTATTCGTCATTCAAAAGAGGCAACAACCGGAAGACAGAGAAGAAGAACAGACTGCGTAATATAAACAAACAACAAATAGCTCGTCCATCGAAAAACATGTTTCGTGCGGTACTGGAGCTATCAGCCATTGGAGTGTTGCTTGTGGAAGACATTCTCAAGCAACCGTTTCGCTTGCTGTGTGTATCTAGTGTATTCATACACACTGTTCATACTGCTCACAGGCTGCTGTGTGTATCTAGTGTATTCATACACACTGTTCATACTGCTCACTATTACATTACATCACATCTCACTTGTTAGTCGCTTTTATCCAAAGCGACTTACATACTCAACACTGTGGACAATCCCCACAGGAGCACTTTGGGGTGAAGTGTCTCAGGGACACGACGACATGCTGACTGCAGTGGGGTTTGAACCTGATCCCAACAGG